TATTGAGCGAAGGCATTTGTTAATGAAGGTCTGTAGCTTGTTTGAGCTGCTCTTTGTGACACGCCAAGTCTCTGATCCGTATAGTAGTACTGACTTCACATTGGAGTTGAAAGTACGGATCTTAGTTTTGACGCTGAATGCTGTTGACCTCCACATAGACTTGAGAGAAATGAAAACTTGTCTTGCTTTTCCGATTCTGGCTTTGATATCCTCGTCAGATCCTCCTGTAGTTGAGACGATGCTTCCCAGGTAGGTGAAAGAAGTTGTTTCCTTCAGGTTCCTCCCATTTATGCTGATTGTTGTCGGTTGTTGCTGTTGATGTTGGCCAGGAATCTTCATTACCTCTGTTTTGTCTATGTTCACTTGAAGTCCTATCTTTGCTGCTTCTTCTGCCAATTTGTTGCTTTTCACTTGCATATCTTCCAGTTTGTGGGAAATCAGACATATATCATCGGCGAAATCCAAATCCTCCAAGGCTTTTGTGTCGGTCCATTTTATGCCTGTTCCCTCGTTGGTTGCCGTTGTCTGCCGCATTATCCAATCAACTGCAATCAGGAAGATCATTGGTGGCAGTAGACAGCCTTGTCTCACTCCCGTCCTCACTTCGAAGGATTCCGTGAGCCTCCCGTTGTGGATTACTTGGCATGCAGCGTTGTCATACAACTGTTGGATGAGATGTATAATTGTCGGCGGCACCCCGTAGTAGCGAAGTAGTTGCCAAATCACCTCTCGATCGACGCTGTCGAAGGCTTTCTCAAAATCGATGAAGTTGAGATAGAGAGGTGACTGCCATTCCAAACTTTGTTCAATGATAATCCGTAGGGTGGCGATTTGGTCAATGCATGACTTGTTCCTCCTGAATCCGGCCTGTTCCGGACGAAGTTTTTCATCTAGGGCTTGTTTAATTCTCTCCAGGATGATGCGACATAGTATCTTGCTTGGAATGGACAGAAGCATAATTCCACGCCAGTTTTTACATTGACTCAAATCTCCTTTCTTTGGTAGTTTGAATAAGTATCCGTTCTTCCAATCCTCGGGTACTTTGCCCTCTTTCCACACCTTCTCTAGTAGTGGCGTCATCAAGTCCGCTGTTGTCTCTGGGTCTATTTTCAAAGCTTCTGCTGGGATTCCATCTGGTCCTGGCGCTTTCCCAGCTTTTAGCATCTTGATGGCATTCAGGACTTCGGATTTCGTCGGAGGGTCGATGTTCATTGGTAGTTCTGCTTCCGTTGTTGGTATTGTTGGACGCATTGTAGGTGGCGGACGATTTAGAAGTCTTTTGAAGTGTTCAGCCCAGTGCTTCCTCTGTTCCACCTCTTTGGTGACTGACTTTCCATTGTCGTCCTTTATTGGCTTAATCTGTGTCGAACTTTTGCCCGAAAGGTGCCTAGTTGTTTGGTATAGTGTAGCGAGGTCTCCTTTGCCTGCAGCTTGTTCTGCTTCGTTTGCCATGGTTTCACAATATTTTCTTTTGTCTTCCCTGGCACTTTTCTTCACTCTTTTGTTCAGTGCATTGTAGCTTGCATTCAACTCCTGTTTCTGTTGCTCGTCGGTGCACTGGATAATCTTTTGTTTCGCCACCCTTCTCTCTTCTATTAGTTTCCAAGTGTCCGTAGAGAGCCACTGTTTGTCCTGTCTCTTTTTTCTGCCTAGGACTTCCATGCAGGTTTGACTCCACACCGTTTTCAATTTGTTCCAGTGCTTTTCGACGCTGACCTTTTCGTTGGTGTTGATTTGTGTCTCGGCTTTTTCCCTTATGTTTGCAATGAAGATGTTCTTTGTAGCCTGGTCCTTCAGCTTTTGAGTGTTGAACTTGGCTTGTGGTCTATCTGCAGCTCCTGTTTCCCTGAAAGCTTTTAATTTGATTTGGATTGTCCCTTGTACGAGGTAGTGGTCTGAGCCTACGTCTGCTCCTCTTCTTGCTCTTGTGTCCAGTAGGCTGCGTCTCCACTTCCTCGATATTGTGATAAAGTCAATTTGGTTTTTGGTTCGCCCGTCTGGTGACACCCATGTAGCCTTGTGGATATCTCTGTGCTTGTAAACACTGCCACCAATCACTAGTTCGTTGAAGGCGCAGAAGTCGGCGAAGAGTTCTCCGTTTTCATTCGTTTCTCCAAGAGCTTCTCTACCCATGATGAGTTCTCTTCCTGTATTGTCTGGTCCCAGTTTGGCGTTCATATCTCCCATTAGTATTTTAATGTTGCCAGCTGGAGTATTGTCTATTGCTGCCTGTAGTTGTCTGTAAAATTCTTCTTTCGTTTCGAGGTCTGCGTTGTTGGTGGGTGCATAACATTGGATTATTGACACTTTTCTTCCTTCGGAGTTGAATCTGGCGGTCACGACACGATGGTGTATGGAAACCACTTCACCCACCTTATGACAAACAAAATCATCACTGTCGAACGTGGAGGAAAACACGAGAATGTAAGCATCGATCGCGTAAAACCAGCTTTCATGGAAATAGAGGTGACTGAATGTTTACCCAAGTCATCAACATCACCTAAAGATGAGTCACAAAATGAGTCCTGCTCTCAAGATTCAAAATCTGGTGATATTACGGCTAGCAAAACAGAAAGAATCACACGAGCAGGCAAACGAGTACATTGGCCCCAAAGATTTGTACAGACAATTTGTTTCTAATTCATTACCATACTTCCTTATTACTGTACTATTAACTTAATGTAAGATATAAATCTATTCTGTTACTCTCTACAATAACAACTTCATTATTATTCTAATAATTTTTCTGGTTTTATTGTTACATTTTGCACAACTTTCTAAACATTTTGGTTCGTTTCAAAGTTGTTAGCACTTTCGAATATTTACAGTAGTTATGTTAGCAAACCTCAGAAAACTTCAAATCCTCAATTCAGTTTTCATACCAGAAACTCTTACATATATTTTGTGTCTTTATAATTTACAGTGATATTCCAAATACAGCTAATTTTCATTTACCTGCATTCTACGGAGGGGCTATTGTGGTGACGCATTTTATTATTCATCATCGCAGTATACTTTCACTATGTAATTGGACTTTGATTTATTTATCACTCTAAAGACTGCGTGTTAACAATGGATACATTTGTACTCGCTCAACTTTTGAATTTTGATTACTGCAATAATACACGTTCAAACTCCTTCTCAAGTGCCTTTTGATTTACGTTGTGGATGTCGAGTAATCACAACGTTAGGACACACTAATAAACGCGAAGTAGTACTAGGATATACGTGTACGCTAGTTTGATCAAATAGAGCACCACAACAACAGTTCACAGTCTTGCTTTCAGTTACACTTGACCCTCTTTGAAGCGTGTTCACATTCAACCGTTGTCATTTTCAGCTCCCTTTCACAGAAGTATTACACTCGTCTCTAATCTTGACCTATCATATCATATATTCTACGAATTTCCAGAGTGTTCTAATTAAGTTGGCATAGAACGAAATAGACAATATTTGGTAGATGGTTTTCTGTGACTATGTGGACAAATATGTCATTGTATTTCGAATATATAATTGTCATTAAGTTCACACGTTATTCCCCGAAATGTTTTGTAATACATCTCCCAATCAAAATAAGGTGACACTTTAAGTACTTTGGCTGGACATTAGTTAGCCACATTTTGAGCGTTGACTTGTTCACATACTGACAAATCAAGAGATTCTTGTGGATGACCACCTCGTCTTCCGTCTCCCCCACCACCGAAATCGACTACCTAGTTGTGCTGTCCAATCGCCGTTGTTTTCAAAGTCAATTTCCCTTTCCTGTATCATCGATTTACATGCATTTCCTGGGAGTTTGACTAGAACAACCAGCTATTCAGTACTATCTGATTCTCATAAGTTTTGCTTTTCCTCCACTTCCACACCTTCTATTTTGTTTAGTAGAACGTTTGAATTATATTTTTGTTGTATGCAGATGGTATGAAGAGACTATTCAAGTGCGTCTGACTCTATCCTTGGCGAAACGTCCGCTGTAATCTAGGTATTGCATATGAGGTGGGAAATGGTTTAAACACCAGATTCAAGTGACTAATGGCACCTTTATACAAAACATCAGCATGCACTGGGGGAATGGCAACAACGGGTTAGCGTCTTGTGCAGGTTGTAGGCACATGTGCGTGTACTCACTTACTTCCTGCTAGGCGAGCGTTCAATGATTGATGGGTACTTATTACCGTGTACAATATTGATGTTCATAATTATTCGTTTATCGAAAGAATCCACAGGCAACAGTTGCATTCACTGACTGACTAACCGAGTTTCAACATATTACTTTTCACAGAAGGAGTGTAGATGTTTGAGTTGCCACAGTCTGTGTAGCACACAAATATACACAAAGGACAGGAAAGAAAATGAGACTCAAGAGAATCCTAATAAGTAGGAATGTGAGGGAGTAGGCATAGTATGATGAGAAACATGAGTGTTCAGTAGATATGGGAGGTCACAGACGAGGAATCCATCTTCGACGTGTGACAACGACTTCGAGCAACACCATCAATAGTCTCGCACCATTGGTTATTAACATGCAGAGGACCACAACCGTGCCGCGTAAACCTCCCTAAGTGAGTGGCTAAAACTGACCGTCAAAGAACTCATGGACTGATTCCGGCTTTTGTTTGACCAACCCTGACTCTCTCTCTCAACATAATCCTGTGTCAACTAACATTGTTCATAGAGAATGGCGATGGATTAGCATACATAACACGACCCCGTTCCATTTCACTCTATCCTGCCTCAAAACTCCATCGATTCACTTACCCTTCTTACCTAAATCCCTTCACGCCTAACGCCAATATTACTCACCATATTCCACTACTTCACACGCGAGATCATAGTAATATTCGAACTTAAGTCTTAGAACTCGAATTAACTGGCTAAATCTCTTTCATACACTGAAATGAGGTATGATTAATGAGATTCTACACACTGTGTAGAAGAAGAACAACAGTGCTGTAGTCGTTCGGTACATTTCGAGTTCATCACATTGATGTGAAACCATCCTAACTCAACAGACCAGTAGTATCATTGGTAGTACATTGACTGATAGCATTGTCATCTTCACCTTCATAATTCAAATGGTTCTCTCTGTCTTCTTCCTCATTGTCATCTTCATCATCTTCATCGTCATCATATATAACAATGTTCCACTCTTCAGTTGGGATGTCACTGTCGTCCACAGTGGACAGATCGCAAAATTCAAAACCTGGTGGTAGTTGGATTTGCACTTCTTCTTCTTCTTCCATCAGCTCAGTACTTTCATTGTGCATTGGAAAATCGGTGTGATAATCTCGAAGCCACTCTGGAGGACGGCGAGCTCGGGATATTCGACCACTTGATGTATTGGTCTTTATTGCGCCACCCAGTCTAGTGTGTTCATCTCCACCTTGTGATTTCCAAGTATTCGACTTCACAAGTACAATGGTAGATCTGGTCACATCTGTAAAACAGTAAACATTGAACATGTGTATTGCATACCAGTATATTCACAGTAACTGGTGAAATGCAAAGATTACTATCATAATCCCTGAGATAGATTCAATCTGCTACTTTAAGTGAAAATTGTTGGATTAAATGTTATTTGATGACTGAGTTATCAACACATAAAAAGGCATCATGTCGAGTTACCACACTCAGAAAAGGCACGCATAAACTCAGAGAAGAGAAATGCAATGAATTTACAACGAATGGGTAGACATGTATAAAGAAAAAGCAGTTAGAGCATAAGTGAGGGTTTCAAAATGTGCACAGTCGTTGACGGTTTTGAAAACACATCACCAACAGTCCTCAACCACCAAATTTTGCCCATTTTAGGAAGCAACTGGGTAGTATTCCTCCAATGGTACAAATCTGACTCAGTGGCTTGATCACTCGACTTCCAGATGACAGTTTTCAGGTTCGAGCCCCACTCAACCTACCTCACACTTCGCAACTAGAGAGTACCATTACTTATCACAAAATACGCGTTACTCAGCGAAGAGCATAGAAACACGTTCGGGCTAACTGAATTCTAAATCATTTATCCCACCTGCCTCCCTTAAAACCCAATCACATCGATAATGAAGCTTCAGAGCACAAAACAAATAGACTTATTCCTCGAAACGACATTGAATGTTTGTGTCTCCAGTGAGTGACTTTCACTTGGGCTCTGGGCTTGAATCTGGAATACTCTACAGCTAGATGATAGATGATGCCATAGAGCGAAAATATCCAAGAAGCCAGTTTTCCTGCAATGAAAGCAATATCAAGCCTGGTGACATGAGATGTTTGCAATATGTTTGAAGCTACTGAGATCGCAGAAATAATGAGAAGGTACGGTAAGATGTGTTATGAAGAAGAAGAACAGCTGATGTAGGCCCATATTCTTATCTGATGTGAGGAACATAAAAGATCGAGTTGAAGAGCTTCTTGTGAATTGGGTACAAGTCGAAATCCAAGTTCAACACTTAGAAAATAGAGGCCGGAGTTACAAACGATATCATCACAGATGTCGTCAGAAAACGTCAGAGGCATCAAGCAACATGACTGTGGAGACCCGTGTGGAAGAGCATTTGAGTATTGTGTAGGTGACGTGAAAGGAAAGTCGTACACAGAAATTTTACGTGAGAATAACAGACAAGAAAACGAATCGCTATCTTGAGTCAAAATGAGACCGATGCAGAAGGGATCTGCAGTGTTTCAAATGGTGATACACTACAGAAGTGGTCAACAAATGCAGAAGCTAGGTGTGACTTACAAACAACTGAACAAAGAAGTGAATAAGAGTGTTGCGAGAAATAAAGGATGGCTTTAGGACGCACTAGAAACTGAAGTGAAACAGTCTGCAGGTGAGAGACATCAGGACACAGCATCAAATAACTGGGGCGCTATTAAGGAACAGGCACACACACAATCGGAGCCATCATTTCTACTCGTGAAGAACTTTAGAACTTCAGACTTAGAAAACGAAAGCTGAAATTCTGAGGAACATGCAGTAGCGAAACGCCGGTAAGGTGTTAGGAACAGTTGGAGTAACCAACACGAGTATTGATAAAGGATCCAGAGACCTCACTGAATATCCCAAGATGCCTACTGCAGAAGACATGCAGGAAAGTGAAACTATCTGCCGACTTGAGGTAGGGTTATATTGTCGAACTTCCGTAAAAGAGCACTGGCTACTGCTCGTGCAAGAACTCGAGCGAAATTCTGTTTCTGTTCACTCCACACAAACATTAAGTCGTGTCGTCATGCCAAGACTGAGTGATTTCCTGAATGTAAGAATTCACCTGACATAGGCTGGATTCACAAAGATAAGTTATTCGCTGACCAGACTGAGACACTATGTACCCTCATCGTACTATGCATAGGAAGGCAACCAACTCTGTACCACGGATTTATCGAATCTGGAAAGACTTTCGACAGCGTCGACAGTGAATCGATTCTGAAACCGCTCCAACACCACGGAGTGTAGTACCACTGTCGTTTATAAACCTTATTCAGCTTTTACATAATAACTCAGAATTCCGAGTAATTCACAACGAAAAGCTCACCACAACATTTGAAATTGAAAACAGAATGTAAACAAGGTTGACTGCTATCACTGGTGATCTGCCTGATCGTCAATATGGTAGGTGGAATCATGCGACAGGATGTGAGGGGTGAAAATTAACAACCAAATGTTACTCAAAAACAACTTGCGACTTCATGCAGTTAGTGAGGAGCTATATTTATTGTGTGAGGGCTGGTGATACTACCTGTCTACTCCAACCTTATTGGGTGGAGCGGGGTCCGAACCAGTGCCTCAATGGCTGGATGTGGTGTGAAGAATGAGAAGACATGCAGATATTGGACCGACAGAAAGCCTCTACAAAATCTTCATTTCGCAGATGATTGTTGCCTGACAAACTCGAAGATATGCAAAGGGAAACTAACAAGCTGGTTTGAGAAGCAACAAAGACGATCGTCAACAACAGTTAACAGGACTGGTAGACATCTTAGGGAAATCATCTCTTTCACTCACCTTGTGAGCATCGTCTCAACCATATGCGACACGGATGAAGATGTCAAGGCCAGCCAGGATAGGACTGGGAATGTAGAGTAGGTGTTCATTACTCTGAAATCAGTGTGAATATCTACGACTCTCACAGCACGGAGGAATATCTGAATTTTCAACACTGTCGTCGAATTAGTGCAGTTCATTTGTGGCGTAGAGATTAGGAGTATGAGTCACCGAAGGTATGTATATATATATATATAGTTGGGAACGAATCTGTTTCTTCACGCGATTTGTTATTTTATGAATGCTAATATGTGAGGATACATACTTTCTTGGGTAAATTTATTTGACGATAAAACTATTAACACAAATTTGTTGTCAGATTTCAATTCATATTCTCAAAGTACAGGCTGGTTCATAGGCGATTCACATCATCTAAATAGATGTAATCAGCAAATCATAACGTTAGACTGATCACAGACAAGGTCACATAAACTTAGATCTTGGTGATTATAGTAACAGAAAAGGGTGAAAAGCACAAACTTACCGTGGGCAGGAGGTATTTTGAGATCAGCTTTTGCTTCTTGACGTCGGTGTTTATCGTGATGTCGATCTAACAGAATCATTGAATTCGTCGTGAATTCACAATCGCCACAATGGCACTTTAGGCGGCCCACTGATCCTCGTGACTGACGCGTGTTACGCTCTCCAGTGTGCATGTTACGGACATGCTCCTCTAAATCCTTCTTTAAATTGAATGTGAATTCGCAATAACGGCAGACGTGGCGGCGATTGACTTTCAGATCATGGGTTCTTGTAATATGATGACTCAGTTGATTGAAACCAGGAAAACCCTGTTCACCACACAATGGACATGATATTATCTCACTTCTTCTATGAGTTTTAATGTGGACTCTCAATGATAACACATCATTCACATAAACATTGCATGGCAAACATCGAAATTTAGTTTGGAGTGTACGAGCTGTCCAACAACGCCGTGTATGCTTACTCAGATTGTATATACTATCGAAGGTAACTGAGCACCCCAAACACTCTATAGATAACTGGATTAAATTAGATCTAATTGCATATATTCAACTCACCTGTTGGGAACTTATCACCTCGAAGTACTCACGAAGTTCATGTTCCCTTGTCTGCAAATGACTAAGATAAATGTCGTGAGATGAAAAGGCTTTATCACATGCCTCGCAACGAAATATTTTATCACGATGTATGTGTCGATTCCGATGGGTTATCATATTGGTCCTTTGTGTAAACCTTTTATTGCAAACTTCACAGACATAAGGTTTTTCTCCAGCATGCGAACGTTTGTGATGTTCCATGGTTACTCTATTATTTGTCTTATAATCGCACTGATCACAATGAAATTTGAAATTTGCAGGATTTCTTTCGGGCTTCTTTGGATCAACATGGCTGCGCCGAGCATGAAGGAATACTTGACTGAGGGTCTCAAAAAACCACCCACATTGATGACACGCGTACAGTTTAACGGAGTGCTTCTGTCGCATGTGTTTAGTGAAAGCATTTACACTGCTAAGCAATGCTGGACAAGACGGGCATTGGTAGTTTACACTATCAAATTGTTGCGATAATGCGACTGGATTCCAAGGTTGGGTTTGTTGATCTGGTGTTTCAATGATTTGTGCACCTCCCACACTCGGATCGAAAAGCTGCTACAAACATGTGCGGTGGAAATTTTGGAGACTCACCTGCAGATACTCTGTGCCATCCTCAGTCACAATAGCTGTAACACCACCTGAAGCGATCATATTTTTCAATGTCTCTGTATCATCAGCCATAACTACAACCGTATCTTCACCTATGTTGGATAATCCCAATTTATTCGGCTGTAAGACTACTTGTCCATCTTGAGTTGCGCTTAGTGGTGTGACGATGAAGGCGCCATCAGCATTTGCAATATACGGAGTGGGTTTATTGTAATCGACCATTTGATCTGACACTTTCAGCTAAATTATCCTCTGATATCCCGTTCTAAAATATGAGAGGATGAACACGGCATATTTGTATTTATTTCGCAAACAGGATGTGGATGAAATAGATGAAGGTTAGGCAGTAGCATGAGAAACGAAGAAATGAAATCTAAATGTTCAGAAAACTGGAAACTGTAAGATACTGCATAAGAACACAGTTCCATTACCCAATTAATTACCATTCAAATAAACTGCACCACACGACATTTTGAATTGAAAACATGGGGGCTCCTTGATTGAAACGAAACCAATACACATAAAGAGATGCTCAAATTATAATTCGGTCTTACTGTGCGAATTAAATGTCACAGTAAATCATCCATACATATTCTATGCAAAACATCACTTGAATCCCCTGTCCTGAACACATCGTGTTTGGCTGGTGATCGCCAAATCAGAACTCCATTATACTCACTTTACATTCATTAACCGAGTAGTATTAGGCATACGCCGACGTTTGCACTCTCCTAAAATGCATCAAATCTTCACGTTGTCTTACGATTAACTAGTTACACAGCTCAAAATGAAGTACCGACAGTAAAGCAAACTACACAAGACAAGAAAGTTACAGTACAGCGCAGATGCGAGGAGATTTCTATGGCTTCAAGTATACAACACAAAACGCAAACAAATTCACTCAACCACTTTCTCTCTGGTCCTGAAAATTTCTGTATTGTGTATAACTCGATTGAAAACAGGCATTCTTAGACAAAGTTAAAGAATGCCCCTGTAACCATATGAGAAGGAAAATCTTCACAATCCTTAAGATCAGTAAATACAGTTATGCATTTTGGAATGCTTGAAAAATTCATTCAATCCTCGTCAGTACAAAATAAGCAGAAGTGAAGCTAGTGTTTGCCTAACAGAGAGCACCCAGGACTTCAGTTGTTATCTGATAGGTTTAAAACAAAACATATACCTGCATATTATGATATGTTTCGATTAAATCAAAAGCAACTCACTTTACTTGAGTGAGCTCTCAAAAAGCATTTGTACAGAAGAAATGTATAAAAATAAATTACGATAAAGTGACCTTTGAAAATCAAGAGGTACTTGGTCTTGAGGTGGTTTAAGCAAAGTTCTCGACCGGCAGGCATCATAGTGACCTCATAGATGAGGCGGCGATGGGTTGAAGTTGTTTTTAATGAGATTTCGAAATTCCTGAGCATATGTCATTCAGAGAATTACATGGAAATAATTCCGAGGATAGTTTTTACCACAACTAGAAGGAATGTCTACAATGATAAATAATCACATTTGAAAACCTGATAAGTACAACAAGTGCATGTGTAAGTAACTCTCTGCATGTTATTTAAGTATCAAATTCCGTTGGAGGAAATTATCACTAAAGCCACACCAAATGTTATCATTACTACTAGCACCAACTGATGGTTTTTCAGTGATTTATTTAATTTTAAGCAGCGTCACTCACATTGATAGTAAAGTCGACCGTAGTGTTCATGGAATTATTGAGTGTTGTCGCTTATCTGTCATTTAAATTTCATCTTTTCATAACACTGCAAAAGATCTACTGGTGGAGGTAGAAACAGATGTCGCTTAACTGCAGCGGCCAACAAACACGGACTACTCTTGTCATTATCAATGTTTATCCCACTGTCTTTGTATTGACATACTGAGTTTAGTTTCTGAATAAGCGTTCTTCTGATTGCAATATGCCACCAGCAATTAGACATGATTGTTTCACTTCATTTCCCCGCCTATTTCAGATGACTTCCGAGATGCTATCAGTCTGTGTTGTTATTTTGTAAGATCCAACGTTTTCAGCCCTACTTACACTTGCTTCAACTTTTAAATAGACATTACTTATTGCATTTGCATTTAGTATGGCATTCTCAAAAGTGTAAGGAATAAATGCTGCAAGAACATCTACTATATAGTGGATGTTGACCACTGGCTGCTAAGTACTATTTTATTCAAATATAAAATTAATAATCTGAATACTAGCAAGTTTCTTTCCTTGTATTATAATAGCATGTAATTGAAATGGGAAATATAGTGTTTAATAATGGGAATAGTAAGAGAACATTTTAACAAAGAATAAATGATGAGATAATGTGTGTTTATCAGTGGTGAATTAACTGCTGAAATGCAGGTTACAATGAGAAATCATGGTTACTTAGTGGAGTTAATCAGGAAATACTATATGCATGATAGGCGAAATCGGAGAGTGGCTAAAACTGGGTATCTTTGTCATAAGACAGATTTTGTTTTATTATTCGAACATAAGTCACAGTCATTATTTTACCATTATTCAGCCAGTTTTTACCCTTGTTGTCTGACCGTGTTACTTATTCCCCCAGTGAGTTTATCTGTGGTAAAATCAACTGCCTATGTCGAGGAGATATGGTGAATCAACTATTTCGTTTGGTGTTTCAGCAGCTACGAGATTCTTCTGGAAATTATGCACAAAAGGCATAAACAGAATACTTACAGTAATGAATAACTACATCTGAAAAGGTTCTTGTTTTCAAGGCCATAAAAGGAGCGCATTCGAATTTCATTGTCCAATATCGCTTTCACGGCTTGTCTTATCACGTTGGTTAAGATTTGATTAGCAAACTTTTTTGTGAATAAGTTTCAATATCATTGTGTTATATGTTTTCCGGATTGATGGGAATTCTCATTTCCTGACTTCTTGTGTTGTTGTCCGCATCATGTGCTCTGATTGCGACAATGATTAGTGGTTCAGGCGGACTGTTTCAAAATATTAGTATCTTGAGACTGATGGGATAGTTGGAGGGTAATGTGGCGACGGTAAACAATTGACCTCAACTTCAGACGACCTTGAAACAGGAAATCAAATTCTTCCAGGGAGAAAGTGATACCTTATTTGCAATGAAGTGTATCTACTATATATATGTGATAAAAATGAATGATATGGGGTTTATACCTATAATATGCCGGAAGATCTGGTCCCAGATTCTCAAAGAATTATTTATGGACACATCAAACCAATGTTTTTTCTGTTTCTCCAGGTGTGCGTCGGTGGCACAGTGGTTTGGACTCTCGCCGACCATGCACATGGTCCGGGGTTCGATCCGCTGCCGACGCACACCCCATATCTATGGTTGGCCTGCGAAACTTGGGCTACCGATATCCATGCTGAAAATTCCATACTTGTACTGAAAATACGGTGTGGCATCAAGCTGTAATCAAAATAAAATTAAATAAATAAATATAGCAGATCCTGGTTTCATATACGCAATATACTACTATGCAAGAGCTTTGATTTTGAGATGAAAGTGTCTACTAAGATCACCAGTTATGTACAACTTGCCAACTTATACAGACTTGCTCATATAAAGTGGTTAGAGTTGAATGCATAAACATCAGTAGCCTTGCAATACTTTTGCAGCCATTATTCCTCCACATATGCATGTTTTAGTCCTCCCTATAAACACATTTCTCAAAGAGAAGTCAAAAACCAAACCTAGAAGAAATTTTCAACTAGGATAATGATTAGCATTCACTTGTAATTCTGAGCTGTCTGACTGGTTTAATCAAGGTCATTTGACTTTGGTAGCTATTGTATACTCTTGCCCGTAATGGCGTTTACACAAATAGTCTACTTTAAGTAGAAGCTGCACTTTTTGGGCAAGGTATCAATCACTGGAGACTTCACATCTCAGGATGTCAATGTAGCCTGTTTTCATATGAAGAACACTACTATCTGACAAGTGGATGCTATCAGTACATGGAAATCGCCCGTGAATAATAACGGACCTTTTTCTGGGAACCGAAGTTATCATGTATGTGTGTCTTTCACCTTATCTCTGTTTGTACAGGAATTATCGTTAGTTGAAATGTTATTTCTAAGTTGATTTAATTTATATTCGCACTGACTGATGCAGTGTTGTGTAGATTCAATGTATAAAAGATATTTCAGCTTTATTAATATTGTGTCACTGTGTGCTTAGCTGACTGCTAGGCCAACAAATGTGGGTGTTTCTCATGATTGTTGCAAGTGCAGTGCAATGGAGAAGGCAACGACTCGTTTGATTTTCTTCACTGTTTCACTTAGTGCACTGACTCGGTTTATAATACTATTATACACATAAATTCTGTCGATTATGCGAACTGAATCTAGTCAGCTTTATTATTATCAGTCTACTGTGTGCTATACCATTCCTGCTGACACTGTATACTTAAAGCTGCAACATCTTTGATCAGCAATAGTGGAGATGAATTACTCCTGGGATTTTCACCCAGTACAGATTCACCATCACTGCTGAATGCCTAGGTCGCATTATAAGACATTATTATTCCCATCAACTCAACAGGTGTGTGTCTTGCAACATTTTAAGTGTTCATCTATGCTGTTAACACTGTGCATAGCTGTTTGGAGTTGAGGAATGTTCAGCTTATATTTGATAGCTATAGTTTCCTAAATATGAGAATGTAATTTCTGTAAGATTCACAAAACCATATTCACCAGGCACTACCGAGGTTGTGGATCAATTCCTAGGTAACACATCTGCAATACTTCCTTTAATGTAAACGAAGTTGGTGTGAAGTTGATCTCCAAGTAATCTTGATGAGAGCATGACACCTCGACAGTATGGATATTTCAGATATTGTCTTACAATTTATGTATCATCCTCTGATTTTGGAAAACATATTAGTTCTACTTATGCATACGGCGTCAATATAAAAGCCAGCTGTGGACTACAAATACTATTATTTGCATGAGGATTTTACTCAGTGTTAATAGAGTCAGTGTATTCATGTGGTATACTAATATATGAAATTATATTTCATGACTTCATGTTGTGCTTTATATTTTAGGTATATGGGTGTTGTCGAATATGAAATCAGCGAAAATGTCAGTCGGTCAAAAAATCGCTAATACCCTGCATCAAAATTTTCTTTGTAAATTAAGAAAATGTTGAATTTACTCTTGATTTCTACTTCTTCCGGACTTTTTCAGTGCGTCGCTACACTATGAGCCTTCGTAATAAGTGAATCTGGATTAATGCATTTAAGCTCAGTTAGAGGCATGGAGATTCACTATAGTATTATGAGACTGTTACTCTAGTCATTCATAAGATTTCGCATCTGTTTCTTTGCAATAGCACATTGTAAAAGCTAAGTAGGATTTAGCAAGTTGAATAGTAATTCTGTACTGTTCAATACGCCAAAGTCGCGTTATTTAGCTAGTCGGAAGTCCGTAATCTGCTAAGCGCCAAGTCTATAGTACAAGCAAATGTATTAACTTAGGGTTGATAGTTACTTCATTAATCTGTTAATATGCGATGGAATCTTCAAATAGACTGTATACTTGACAATGAGCTAAGAAAATTTTTTTATTTATTACCGAAATGCCATCCAATCATGTGACGTTACCTAATATCCATCATTTTTATGGTCAACAACTGCAGTATTTGTAAATCTACTTTGCTAAGTATGCGGATGACCTAATTGTCTCAATGCGTATAAGCTCACAGCTAGACTGTACTAAAATGAACAGCTTTTTATCAGGAGTAAGTAAATGGTTTTGAACTGAATCATTTCAAATTTCAGACAGTTAATTTCAGTTTCCGATGTAAAAGAAAGTTAAATGAACCTTTTAATTTCTATTACTATTGTTTAATTAATGATAGTGATATAGAAATCAAGTCTGAAATTAAGCATCTTGGATTAATTCTTTCTTCTGGCTGATCCTGATCTTCCTATGTCTCAGCGATTTCCAAACGAATATTTCATCAAACTTTTCACATTAAGAAGTTAAGGCACTCAGGTACAATTCAACCCTTCCTCTTACAGTTTGTCAACTCGTGCCTCTTACCTACTCTTCTTTACTGTTCACCCTTATACTTTCCTGGATTGCTTAGAAATGACTCTGTCATACTTTGTAGGACTCTGGAGACTGTTAGTACTGCGAGTGGTCTTTCTTTGGGCCATATAGTTGCAGCCGTCATTTGCGATGTGCATTTGATTATGGCAGACTGTGAGCACTCACTTTACATGCAGCGTCCAATTTTCGTCTCTTTAGGTAAAACGAGAAGGCTCCATAATGGTTAAGATTTTATTTTGATAAATCACACAGTGTTGCGCAACTGATGACGTTTCGAGCACAAACTATTGCTCATAATCATATCATATCAACTTGATATGATTATGAGCAATAGTTTGTGCTCGAAACGTCATCAGTTGCGCAACACTGTGTGATTTATCAAAATAAAATCTTAACCATTATGGAGTTACACTCTACCACAGTGGCCAAGTTTTATACTTATATCAAAACAAGAAGGCATTTCAGAAGCCCATATATATGCGCGTCTCAATATAAAACATCCATGACACTACATTTGGCACGTATTTTATGCGGTGAAAATAGTGTCAGATACTCACTAACTAACCTTATTTGCACTAGTGAATAGACCATTCTACTTATCCTCACCCGATCAAGCTTTACTGTTATCATTCTTATATTTATAAACCTCTCTCGAATAGTTTTGACTTAATACTCTAACTGTGGACGAATTCCTGTGGTTAATTTATATTTTAAGTTATTCAGACACAATACTGTTACAAATGCGGAGAACTCCATTCTGTATTATAAGTACTGTTTTGAAATTTATGTAAATTATTTTTATTGGACTATAATGACGCCACTTAATCCCGCTTGACCTGTTCTTCTTGCTTTAATCATGATAGAACCATTTTTCACAGAACTCATCACATGGCGTATCAGCCTTAAATGTATACCACATGCAGGCATAATGCTTATGAGCTGGGTATGCTAATCAAAGTAAACGCTTGTACGGTATATTTATCATTTATAAGATTAACTAGTATGTAAGAACTAAGATTTGACCAGTTATACAACGTTTGATATATTTATACACAATCAACGTACGCTGCTTACTTCTATGACACACTACATAAAGCTACCTTAAAGTAGTTTACCCTGAAGGTTTTCTCCTATAGCTACTACCTTAGTGAGCAAACGTAAAAGTGGAAACCATGAGAATTTTCTTTGTAAAATGATCGTCTCCTAGTCGAAAAAAGTAAATGTATCCTAATCTCCACGAAAGCGTTTGGAGGCATTTATCCTATCACCTCAAATCACTTACTATATGAATTCACTTAAAAAGTAAAATTAAATTTACTTTTTGCCTATATCTAAGGCTTCTGGAAGACTGGGCGGCAGCCAGTGGCATGACTTTCAACCTGAAAAAGTGCAAATTAGTGAAGTTACGCAACTGTATGCTGCAGAATGCAAGTTACACCCTGTGAAATGAAAGCTTGTCGTGCTCAATGTCAGAACGTGACTTAGGTCTAGTTCTAACGGAGAAAATGAACACAAGCGTAAATTACACGGGGGATGTAGCGAGGGCATATGCGGCCAAACACTTTACACATAGACAATTATACGCACTCACTCCTGAGCTCTTTCTAAGGTTGTATAAAACATACGTCAGACCGCATCTTGAAGTGCATAATATCATTGCACCCCCACTGCTTAAGAGAGACGCCAACCTCTTGGAAAGAGCCCAACGACGGGCAACAAAAGGAGTGGTTGGTCTCCGAAATAAACCATATGACGAAAGGCTGAAGAAATTAGGCCTATTCACACTCAGTTACCGTCGCCTAAGGGGGGATTTAATTACTGCCTACAAAATAACAAATGATCAGAATCACCCAAACAAAGGTGTTCTGCCATTGAGTAGGTATAGGCTTCCTCGTGGAAATCCTAGAAGGATAGCTCATCAGAGGGCAAGACCCAAGTGCGCTCCCACTTCTTTTCCTTGCGGGTTTGCCGTCCCTGGAATTCCTTACCGGCAGATGTAGCTATGGCACTATCTGTGGACGCCTTTAAGCGAAGACTGGACAACCATGCAGCGACACAAGAACTTCATCCAAATGTCCTATCCCCTTAAAATCGCATATACCATTCAAAGGTAGACAGTTAAACTGGTCGTTCTACTTCTTCACATTCCCTTCAGTCTAACTCTCCTGACAGCTTTAACTACACCTATTGTTATTATTATCACTATTATTATTATCATTATCATTATTACTTGTATATATATATATATATATATATATATATATATATATATATGTATACCGGTTGACTGACTGTTGTTACGTTTTCTTATTCTTTCTCTGTCTGTTAGTCTGAATACCTTTACTAATTATATCTATTATTATTATTATCTCTTTTCCATTGACGACGATACCGAAAGACTAACTGGTGAAAGGATCAACTCCATTCACAGTAGTAACAGTCTTAACACACTTCATACTACAAACCCCATATAATTAACCCCAGCACTACTCCTGTTGGAGTCAACCAAAGCTACGACAGTCGAGTGGCGGGACGAGCTACACAGACGTTTACCAAAGATCAGGAACCTCTACCTCACAATCAAGAGGCGAGCACAAAGAAATCAAATTGGTTTATACTAGCTCGTAAAAACGATATTGGATATTGGATCTTAGCTGCTGTTGAATAATATGATGTTACCTAATATCCATCATTTTTATGGTCAACAACTGCAGCATTCGCATACCTACTCAATGATATTAAATAAATTACGCCTCTATGCGTCTAATTACAACATTATTCCCTATTACTTTGATGTGTTTACACCAAACAAGTCTCATACAATCTCCCACAAATGCCAAGCTTTCTAGTATCACAAGTGTTAATGAAACCTGCTTCCTTGCTTTCAATACAAATGGTGTTCTAAAATATCCCCAGTGACCATGTAATAACAGAAAACAAGAGTCAGGCAACAGATATTTTAAATAGGAGAGCGTCTCCTCAATGACCTTGAAATAAGAACGTTTTCAAATGTGGTTGTTTATTATTGTAGACACTACTTCTGGTTGTGGTTAGAACAATATTCCTGGAATTATTTCTGTGTGATTCTCCTCATGATATATTTGCAGAAATTTTAAAATTTCATTACACAACTTCAACTCATCACCGTGTCATTTATGAAACTACTGCATATAATAATTGTTGCTAATCTACAGTAACCTTTAGCGAATTTATTATGCAAAAAGGCAAGGTTATACTTATTCCAGGATTGCCTGGATGGGGGCTGACAAATGGATACTGGGAAAGTGCTTTAGATACTTCTATTTGTCCAGGAAATCTCTCAATATTGACTGCTAATCCCAGTCCGGTAGCTTCTCATCATGACAGAGCATGTGAAGTGTTCGCACAACTTACCGGTACAGTTGTAGATTATGGACAGGAACATTCCAAGAGTTTCAAACATTCTAGATGGGGTAATGATTACAGCGGAAAGTCAGCACTCTTTCCCGAATGGGGAAGTTCAAGTCCTGTTCATTTTATATGCCATTCTGGAGCTGTGAATACCGTCAGAGTGCTTCAGAAACTTCTCGAAATTGATTTCTGGAACAGGAGAACCAGCGCGGAATGGATTCTGTCAGTTACTTCGATCAATGGCGCACTTAACGAAAGCGCCCTTTCTGAAGTTATTAATCGAGAAGTGATTCACTTGGTAAGCAGAAATTTCTTCTGCGAACAGTGCAAAAATCAAGGTTGTTCCTTCTGCCTTGGGATAAGAGTTCAAAAAGCGGCGAAAATACTTTGTCGATCTGTTATATGGGCAGCGACGTCAAAATTAAAACTAGACTTGGATCAGATACGTCTAGCATTGAATTGGCCTACAGATCACTGGATACATGATGATAGCGACGACAAAGAATCAATATCGAATGAAGGAGTTGTAAACAGGCTTAAGTCGAGCTTAAAATGTGGTATGTTTAGTTCAGGTGACAACATAATTTATGACCAAACACTAGAAGGTATTAACAAACTCGAAGAATTTTTCAGTTCCTCATCAACAGCTGGTCATCCTTTAGAACGCTCACCGAAGTTTGTTCATGACAAGACATTTTACCTTTGTTTATTCTCCAGTGCGACCACGTCGTCTACTCTTTGCATCCCACCGGAAATGTCTCCGATCTTATGGCCATTTTCTGCCATTCTTCTGGACAAAAACAGAAGTGAAAGACTGGAAGAAAGTACTAAGATTGTTATTCAAAAGATTCAGTCTATTAGTGATAGCGTAGATCCCATCAGAGACAATGACGGCATGGTCACAGTAATAAATCAGTGTGTACCACGGGGAGCTGAGTCATTAGTCGAAGTGTTCCCTGAAAAAGCTGGTTGGACGTCGAAAAATGCAAACTTACGACCAGGAGTATGGTATATTGATATCGTTAACAAATGGATAGACGAAACAGGAGAAGTTGCCTGCAGATCAGAGGCAGGTTGTGAAAGTACAGGCGTGGATGTTGTTTCCGGAAATCAGAAGCGCAAAATTTTATGGGATCATTTCGATGCCTGCTGGTCGAGAACTTTGCTTAAACCACCTCAAGATCAAGTACCTCTTGATTTTCAAAGGTCACTTTATCGTAATTTATTTTTATACATTTCTTCTGTACAAATGCTTTTTGAGAGCTCACTCAAGTAAAGTGAGTTGCTTTTGATTTAATCGAAACATATCATAATATGCAGGTATATGTTTTGTTTTAAACCTATCAGATAACAACTGAAGTCCTGGGTGCTCTCTGTTAGGCAAACACTAGCTTCACTTCTGCTTATTTTGTACTGACGAGGATTGAATGAATTTTTCAAGCATTCCAAAATGCATAACTGTATTTACTGATCTTAAGGATTGTGAAGATTTTCCTTCTCATATGGTTACAGGGGCATTCTTTAACTTTGTCTAAGAATGCCTGTTTTCAATCGAGTTATACACAATACAGAAATTTTCAGGACCAGAGAGAAAGTGGTTGAGTGAATTTGTTTGCGTTTTGTGTTGTATACTTGAAGCCATAGAAATCTCCTCGCATCTGCGCTGTACTGTAACTTTCTTGTCTTGTGTAGTTTGCTTTACTGTCGGTACTTCATTTTGAGCTGTGTAACTAGTTAATCGTAAGACAACGTGAAGATTTGATGCATTTTAGGAGAGTGCAAACGTCGGCGTATGCCTAATACTACTCGGTTAATGAATGTAAAGTGAGTATAATGGAGTTCTGATTTGGCGATCACCAGCCAAACACGATGTGTTCAGGACAGGGGATTCAAATGATGTTTGGAGTTAAGGATTTATGAACTATTTGTTGCTACATTCACTTTGCACAGTACGACAGAGTCATTACAAGAGCTGTGAGGGCATTTATATAATTATTAATACGTGCGCTTTGAATAAATAATATTACTGCTTTCAATATAGCTTGTGAGTCTAGAATAGCTATTTCAATCACAATACTACTTCCGCACTATTTGATTATATTTTTTCTATTTTGCTCTTGTATCTTTCATAATGACAATGTTGTGCGTTCCAGGTATTTTCTCTGAATATGAAATAAGTCCTCAAATATATATATGTATATATATCTGTAACATGTACGGTAGCATGTTGTGTGTTAAATATTAACGCATCTGTTTGAATCATCTTACTGTCCACGGAACTGCGATATTATTCTCCAGCTTTCATTAGGCATAAGATATCTTAGACACTTTGTCCTTACACCGAAAAGCTTATCTAGACGCGTGTGAAGTACATACTTATGAACTGTGGACTGAATGCTTAATCATAAGAATGCACATATGGTTGTTATTCAGAAACATCTGAGCATTGGCGTATTAGCTGATTATTTTAGGACCAATTGTTTGTCCGCAGATAAAGGTACTAAAAACTAGCACCATTTTCAAAATAAAATTTTAGAACATAACGTTCTCAGCATTGTTTTATTGTTTGTTAATTTCTAAGAGACACATTTAAATGGTTTTATAAGTATTGGTTAAAGTCGACCAGTTTACATTTTCATTATCACATTGTGTCAGAAGTACTACGGTAAGTTCTTACAAAACATCAGTTTTCCTTCATAAGACCACTAAGCTAAAAGTACCTAAGCAAAAAAGAAATACTTTCTACTGAACGCCACCGTTAATTTGTTACATGAGTTTCCTAAAGCTGATAAAAAGTCATACTAAGTCTCCCTGGCAAATTCAACTCCTACGCAAAGCTGAAATAATTAACTGCTTCTTATTTTGATAACCAAGAAAACGTAGAATATTTCGAAGATAAGAGTGTTCGGATAAAGCTGCAGAAAAGCATATAGCCTTACAAAAATTCAGTTGTAAACTGGTTAGACATTTCAACCTATGAAGATAAGAAGTTCCGGTAGCACTTGCTCTACAATTATAAGTTCTGTTTTATGCCGTCTAGTGCCTTTAATGACAAATATTTAGAGTCTCAAAGGAACATCACAGCAGAAATCAAATTTTCTTAAGAAATTTGATTTAGTAATATCCAATAAAATTAAATTTTGGAACCACTAGTAACCGAGATTTTGCTGTAATTTTGATCTTAATCATATTTTTGGTTGTTATTTTGTTTTGAAGTACGTAATAAGAAATTAGGTTTTAGCCAACTTAATTGGCGAAAACTGATAAGATCTGTTCAGTGCTGATGATTATCGTGGCCAATACCTTGAAACACTATTTCTTTATTTAAAAGTCTGGATTTCTGAGAAAAATCACCTGGAAGTGGGATATGATGGAGGACACTGGAATGTAATATTTTTAATGAAGTTTCTGTCATTGATCATAGACACTGTAAAAACACGGGAAAAGAAGTGAAAACTAATGAACACTTTGGATTGAAAATCCAGGAGCAAGGTTGCATGCTTATTAACATTCACCAGCATGATGTATCTGCAACCACGAAGGAATTGATGTTACCTTAGAGTTTGGAATCTGCGTCACCTAGTGCAGCAGTTTAAGATGTTATTTGTTATAATTAAATGGCTGTATAACTGTGATGGGCTTACTGCCGATTACCTCGGACCGTATAACACTAATTCAAAAAGTACACCGATACAGTGAATCTCATAGATTTGGGACCATACTGCCCGTCTACTGATATACTTCAGTTAGCATCATTTAAGATTACTTACATGGTGCCAATAAGTAAAGCTTCGTTTTTATTTGGATGCTTTATGAAACAGGATTAAAATAACTTTTCTTATTTCCATATATGTAACAAGAAACATTTTGTAGGTAAGATGACGATGGAGGTTAGAATTAGCTTAAATAAAATATGAAGATGACGAATTACTTGATCATAAACTTCTTAATGCATTTGATCGATATCTGTTGTCTGTTTACATTATGCTGTAATTCAGGATGTGGATTCTTCATTTTTTCGAAACACTTTTCTGTCAGACCATCTAATCTTTGTATTCAGATCATTTTAAGATTTTAAATATATTCTCACACAATTTATCTTGCCTGTGAATAGCTCGTTTTCAAATGAATACATTTTGAGTGAAATCTCTACAGCAGTGTTTTAAAGGAAGATGGTCATTTTACCTACTACTTTCACTTTTTTCAGCATCCAGAGAATCCATAAAGTTTACTAGGAAACAAACATATAGTATGGTAATAACGTGGAATTTCTTTATCTAGTTATTTAAACTGTAAGAATTGTATACCTTTTCTATTCTTAGCTATTCTGTTCTGTATAGAAATTAAGCTAAGCACTTAGGACAAATTTGTTTTTGTGGCATCTTGTCTGAAAGCGGTTATTCATTCAAAAACAGTTTAGGGCTTAGGAAGATGAATAAGCATTCAGGTCGTCAATTGTTTCTACCCATAACTATACTGCATCATACCAACAAGGTGGAAAACAACTGAAAATGTAGTCACATAGTTCTATACAACTAATTGTCTTTATAATTGCTTTCATATGTAGCTACTTAAATCTCGAATCTTGAGTATCTGTAATATCTTGAATAGTTATGACGTATCACTTGCTAGTGGTAGTGTTTGAAAATAATTCAATCTTTTTTTGAATGTGTCTAAAAATAAGTGAAATCAGCTTGATTTTTGTTTTATCCCTCTTGGACTAACTTTACACAGACAAAGGTTTAGTCAATAAGAAAACTTATCTTTCACTTGAAGATAATTTCCCCTTAAATTGTGCTACTCACTACATCTCTTTATTCATCATATTTCTATGATTTCCACCCTATACACTAAGTAATACGGTTCGAATTTGTTTGAACAATGTGAAAGTGAAGATATTTTGTCTGTGTGATGAATTTTCTTGAAGGTCTACTTTCAGAAATCAAAACCACACATATACTGTAATAAAAATTGATCCTTATAGATGTTGCTAGCCATGTTAACATATAAGTTTAGAGAGTGATTGTATTCACTGACTTCAAACTACTCTTGGTAGCATAATTTGTTCATTCTAAGCATCCGTTTACTCATCTTAGTTACCTTTTTGACGTCTTTTTATTGACTTTTAAAGTTAAAAAACAAACTGTTCAACCAACATATTGTAATAAGCGTCTTGTTGTTTTAAGTAACTCCGCCACAAATATATGCACAGTGTTCGTAGTCAGTACTTTTGTTCATCTATCTTCATTTCTTGTTAATACAACAAGAAATCCTTAGTTTTCAAGAATTATTTTGTAGGGATTCTATTCTAAATTCATGAATTGGTAGAAGATAGAATTCATTAGCCATTGAATCGGGTCCCAGTGGCTGAATGGTATGCGAGATTACCTTGTAACCGGAAGGTCCTGGGTTCGAAACCCAGTGAGTGTGTACTGTAGACGATTCCCAAACTGAGATGAAACATCTGTCCAGCGCTCCCTGATTTTCAATGGTTCTCTAACTGATATCAATCCTTGGTCTAACATGGAACAAATCCTTAGTGTCTTGATTTATTCGTTTAAATGTCGATTAGACTGTTCTAATGAATATCTCTAATATTCTGTTTTTCATATTTAAGCAACTTGACACAATTAAAAGACCATTATTAACAGTTTACTTGAGGAATAGCATCACTATTGAAGTATTGTTGATCATCATATTGGATTTTAACTTCAGTTACTTATTGTTTAAGCCATATTTGTCAAGTGACATTATGGTAGGCTGATGAATGTGGAATAAAACTAATCCAATCTTGTTGATGTCACAATAGTTTGTTATCAAAGTTTTATGTAAATGTTAGTACAATAGTTTTCTCAGTCGTATATACTATACTTGAAATAATTCAAGTAACAAGACATTCATCATCCGATTGTATATACTAAATGTGACAAAACAGACTAATTTCTAAATTTAAGGTGAATAATTGTGTTAAATATTAGCTACTTTATGCATTCTGTAATATTACAACAGTTTTGAGTGTAGTCATTAAATGCCTCGCTAGCTTAACGTCAGATTTCAGAATCTCCTGTTTAAGTATACTATCATTAAGTGCCAAAAAACGTAGACTACGTTTTATAATCATAGAAATATGGTTTCAGGTGGCCTTCGGTTGGCAGACTACTATTGGTGCACTGAGGGGAGATTGAAGGTAAAATGAAAAATCTGGATCTAGGCTTGATTTGAACTAGAAGCTTTAGGATAACTGCCCTTGGTAGTCTACCAGCTGACCCACAAGGT